GGGAGGTCGTCTCACTTTGCGGCGGGCCGCCTTCCCTTCCTTCCTTCCGACGGCACCTGGTCCGGAGTTCAGCCGGCCGCGGCGAGGAGGGGAGGCCAGCCCGGCTCGGTCACTGCAGCAGGAGCAGGAGGGCGAGGAGGAGGGCAGGCGCGAGGAGTCCTGCGGGAGGGAAGGAAGGTGGAAGGTATTGGATTTATCCCCCGCGGCCCTTCACGACCCAAGGGAGTCTCAGAGCGGCTGACAAACTCCTTTCCCTTCCCCTCCCCACCACAGACACCCGGTGAGGCTGAGAGAGCTCTTTCCAGGACTGCTCCTGAGACGACAGCTCTGAGAGAACTGTAACTGACCCAAGGTCACCCAGCTGGCTGCACACGTGGAGGAGGAGAGGGGAATCAAACCCGGTTCTCCCAGATTAGCGTCCGCGCTCCTAACCACAACACCAAACTGGCCAGGAGGGCAGCGTCACGATGGGGGGGGGGACAAGGCAGCTGAAAGGAGTGAGGGGCTCGATAGAGAAAAGTTGCAAAAGTTGCAAAAATGTTTACTGTAGTAATTTCTGTAGAAAATTCTCTTCTATAATTGCTCCCACGCAACGAATACTGCGCACTGAAAACAACTGTGAAGACCTCGACTTCTGTGATTAGAGAGTCAACCTGGAATGTTTCCTTCAAGGGTTGGTAAGTAGTCATTGATAAGAACTGGGATCGCAACACACTCAGGTAAAGCAAATATCCTGAAACAAATTGTTTTCAGTGCGCAGCATTCATTAGTGTGGGAGCGATGATAGAAGAGAATTTTCTACAGAAATTACTACAGTGAACGTTTTTGCAAATTATTGGCTCTTCGTTGTTTTTGTCACGGAGGTTGTTTTTGGAATCCTGTGATCTTTCATTTTTGGCTTCTCCCACCTGGAGGTTGGCAACCCTGAAGAACTGGCAACCTAGGAAGAGCTGAAGGGTTTTAGCCGGGGGGTGGGGGGGCGCAGTGCTTTTTGAGAGAGGTTTGGCCGATCAGGCCTGGTGCGGGGGGGGGGGGCTTCTTCACCCCTCTCCCACATGGGAATTGGGGGCAGGCCACCCGGGCTTGACAAAACTGTACCTACGGCACTGTTAACCTGGAGAACTCACTACCACAACAGATAGCGATGGCTGTTGTCTTCAGGGGCCCCAGGGCCTAGGCAAACTCAAGGAGAAGCAGGGTTGCCACCTGGCCCGGAGGAAGACGCCCTGTCCCTTTCGCAGAGGCCTGAGGCATGGGAGGGGCCACGGGGGCTTCTCCTGGCGGGGAGGGTGGCCCCACCAGCTGCTAAATCGCATCCTGGCCGGCCTCCGTTAAAGGGACAGGACATTTCCCCCCCTCCCTGCAGTTGGCAGCCCTGAAGGGAGAGAGCTGGAGTCAGGTCTGGCCGCACCTTTGAGACCCACAAGATTTCCAGGGCGGAGGCTCCGAGAGTCAAGGCCGCACCTTCCCTAGATGCTTCTTGGCTTCTAAGGGGCTCCTGGAATCAGTCTCGCTGCTCCACAGCAGCCCCACCAACACTGCGACCCTCTGGGCCTAAAGGGAAGGGGTGCTTCATGGAACCTCCATGATCAAGAGCAGTGTACTTGTATACACTGGCTGCCAGGGCTAACACACACACACACACACACACACAAAGAAGAAGCACAGGAAGAAGAAGAAGAGATTGGATTTACACCCCGCCCTTCACTACCCAGAGGAGTCTCAGAGCGGCTTACAGACTCCTTTCCCTTCCCCTCCCCACAACAGACACCCTGTGAGGCGGGTGGGGTTGAGAGAGCTCTGACAGAAACGGCTCTTTTTCAAGGACAGCTCTTATCAGAACTAGGGCTTGCCCAAGGTCATCCAGCAGGTGCAAATGGAGGAGTGGGGAATCAAACCCGGTTCTCCCAGATTAGAGTCTGCCTGCACTTCACCACGACACCCAGCTGGCCTCAGACCTTCCTTCCGCGCTGCTTGTGGTCGTTCTAGAGGCCGCCTGCTGGCCGTGCTAGACCCAGAGGGCTTTGATATGGCCACCGCCCTCTCTCCCAGGCTTGTAGCTGGCAGATGCCCGCTGCACCCTTTCTTCCCCGGGTGGGGCATCCCCAGTGAAAAAGGAGGGGGGGCCCAGAGAGGCCTCTGCTTGGGAGCTGTAGGTGGACTGCTGGACATCAACCAGGCCAAAGAGACGCCTGTTGGAGGCCTGCTCCCCCCCCATTTGCAGGTGAAAGATGAGGGAGACTTATGGGGTGTGTCTCCTTGCAAAATGCAACAAAAACCCAGCGGCGCCTACAAGGCTCACGACGTTTATGTTGTTAAATAAATAATAATGAATAAATAATATATGTTGCTCGTCCTGCATTGTTGTCCTATTTGGGAAGAGGAGGGGGCCAGAAACCCCAAAAGCACCTTCCCTGGGGGGCTGCCAGAGGATGGCGGGAGCAGAACTGGGCCGTCCGTCTCTGGACTGCAAAGCCGGGCAGGGGCCGGCGAGTGGAAGAGCTGGCCGGAGCAGGGGGCAGGGCGGGCACTGGGGCCTGGGTGGCACGGAGTCGAGCGGGATGGGCCCTTAGCGGGTGCTCTAGAAGGTTCCCGGGCACCCTCCCCAATTCTCCACCAGATCTCTCTGGACCGAAACAGACGGATTCCTGGGCAGATTCCATTAGAGGATGGAGTGATGGCCACAGGAATCAACAGCCTTAAAAAGGGACTAGGCAGATTCAAGGAGGAGAAGTCTATCAGAGGCTACTAGCCATGGTGGCTGAGGGGAATCTCCACATTCAGAGGCACTAATCCTCTGAATCCCAGAGCCCGGTGGCAACATCAGGGGAAGGCCTCGGCCTCTCTGCCCTGCTGCTGGCCCTCCAGAGGAACTGGCTGGCCACTGTGTGAGACAGGAGGCTGGACTGGAGGGACCCTCACTGGTCTGACCCAGCAGGGCTCTACTGATGTTCTTATCAGGGGAAGGCCTCGGCCTCTCTCCCCTGTTGTTGGCCACTGTGTGAGGCAGGAGGCTAGACTGGATGGACCCTCCCTGGTCTGACCCAGCAGGGCTCTTCTGAGGTTCTCATCAGGGGAAGGCCTCGGCCTCTCTGCCCTGTTGCTGGCCCTCCAGAGGAGCTGGCTGGCCCCTGTGTGAGACAGGAGGCTGGACTGGAGGGACCCTCACTGGTCTGATCCAGCAGGGCTCTTCTGAGGTTCTTCTCAGGGGAAGGCCTCGGCCTCTCTGCCCTGCTGCTGGCCCTCCAGAGGAACTGGCTGGCCACTGTGTGAGACAGGAGGCTGGACTGGAGGGACCCTCACTGGTCTGATCCAGCAGGGCTCTTCTGAGGTTCTTCTCAGGGGAAGGCCTCGGCCTCTCTGCCCTGCTGCTGGCCCTCCAGAGGAACTGGCTGGCCACTGTGTGAGACAGGAGGCTGGACTGGAGGGACCCTCACTGGTCTGATCCAGCAGGGCTCTTCTGAGGTTCTTCTCAGGGGAAGGCCTCGGCCTCTCTGCCCTGCTGCTGGCCCTCCAGAGGAACTGGCTGGCCACTGTGTGAGACAGGAGGCTGGACTGGAGGGACCCTCACTGGTCTGATCCAGCAGGGCTCTTCTGAGGTTCTTCTCAGGGGAAGGCCTCGGCCTCTCTGCCCTGCTGCTGGCCCTCCAGAGGAACTGGCTGGCCACTGTGTGAGACAGGAGGCTGGACTGGAGGGACCCTCACTGGTCTGATCCAGCAGGGCTCTTCTGAGGTTCTTCTCAGGGGAAGGCCTCGGCCTCTCTGCCCTGCTGCTGGCCCTCCAGAGGAACTGGCTGGCCACTGTGTGAGACAGGAGGCTGGACTGGAGGGACCCTCACTGGTCTGATCCAGCAGGGCTCTTCTGAGGTTCTTCTCAGGGGAAGGCCTCGGCCTCTCTGCCCTGCTGCTGGCCCTCCAGAGGAACTGGCTGGCCACTGTGTGAGACAGGAGGCTGGACTGGAGGGACCCTCACTGGTCTGATCCAGCAGGGCTCTTCTGAGGTTCTTCTCAGGGGAAGGCCTCGGCCTCTCTGCCCTGCTGCTGGCCCTCCAGAGGAACTGGCTGGCCACTGTGTGAGACAGGAGGCTGGACTGGAGGGACCCTCACTGGTCTGATCCAGCAGGGCTCTTCTGAGGTTCTTCTCAGGGGAAGGCCTCGGCCTCTCTGCCCTGCTGCTGGCCCTCCAGAGGAACTGGCTGGCCACTGTGTGAGACAGGAGGCTGGACTGGAGGGACCCTCACTGGTCTGATCCAGCAGGGCTCTTCTGAGGTTCTTCTCAGGGGAAGGCCTCGGCCTCTCTGCCCTGCTGCTGGCCCTCCAGAGGAACTGGCTGGCCACTGTGTGAGACAGGAGGCTGGACTGGAGGGACCCTCACTGGTCTGATCCAGCAGGGCTCTTCTGAGGTTCTTCTCAGGGGAAGGCCTCGGCCTCTCTGCCCTGCTGCTGGCCCTCCAGAGGAACTGGCTGGCCACTGTGTGAGACAGGAGGCTGGACTGGAGGGACCCTCACTGGTCTGATCCAGCAGGGCTCTTCTGAGGTTCTTCTCAGGGGAAGGCCTCGGCCTCTCTGCCCTGCTGCTGGCCCTCCAGAGGAACTGGCTGGCCACTGTGTGAGACAGGAGGCTGGACTGGAGGGACCCTCACTGGTCTGATCCAGCAGGGCTCTTCTGAGGTTCTTCTCAGGGGAAGGCCTCGGCCTCTCTGCCCTGCTGCTGGCCCTCCAGAGGAACTGGCTGGCCACTGTGTGAGACAGGAGGCTGGACTGGAGGGACCCTCACTGGTCTGATCCAGCAGGGCTCTTCTGAGGTTCTTCTCAGGGGAAGGCCTCGGCCTCTCTGCCCTGCTGCTGGCCCTCCAGAGGAACTGGCTGGCCACTGTGTGAGACAGGAGGCTGGACTGGAGGGACCCTCACTGGTCTGATCCAGCAGGGCTCTTCTGAGGTTCTTCTCAGGGGAAGGCCTCGGCCTCTCTGCCCTGCTGCTGGCCCTCCAGAGGAACTGGCTGGCCACTGTGTGAGACAGGAGGCTGGACTGGAGGGACCCTCACTGGTCTGATCCAGCAGGGCTCTTCTGAGGTTCTTCTCAGGGGAAGGCCTCGGCCTCTCTGCCCTGCTGCTGGCCCTCCAGAGGAACTGGCTGGCCACTGTGTGAGACAGGAGGCTGGACTGGAGGGACCCTCACTGGTCTGATCCAGCAGGGCTCTTCTGAGGTTCTTCTCAGGGGAAGGCCTCGGCCTCTCTGCCCTGCTGCTGGCCCTCCAGAGGAACTGGCTGGCCACTGTGTGAGACAGGAGGCTGGACTGGAGGGACCCTCACTGGTCTGATCCAGCAGGGCTCTTCTGAGGTTCTTCTCAGGGGAAGGCCTCGGCCTCTCTGCCCTGCTGCTGGCCCTCCAGAGGAACTGGCTGGCCACTGTGTGAGACAGGAGGCTGGACTGGAGGGACCCTCACTGGTCTGATCCAGCAGGGCTCTTCTGAGGTTCTTCTCAGGGGAAGGCCTCGGCCTCTCTGCCCTGCTGCTGGCCCTCCAGAGGAACTGGCTGGCCACTGTGTGAGACAGGAGGCTGGACTGGAGGGACCCTCACTGGTCTGATCCAGCAGGGCTCTTCTGAGGTTCTTCTCAGGGGAAGGCCTCGGCCTCTCTGCCCTGCTGCTGGCCCTCCAGAGGAACTGGCTGGCCACTGTGTGAGACAGGAGGCTGGACTGGAGGGACCCTCACTGGTCTGATCCAGCAGGGCTCTTCTGAGGTTCTTCTCAGGGGAAGGCCTCGGCCTCTCTGCCCTGCTGCTGGCCCTCCAGAGGAGACAGGAGGCTGGACTGGATGGACCCTCCCTGGTCTGACCCAGCAGGGCTCTTCTGGTGTCCTTCTCAGGGGAAGGCCTCGGCCTCTCTGCCCTGCTGCTGGCCCTCCAGAGGAACTGGTTGGCCACTGTGTGAGACAGGAGGCTGGACTGGATGGACCCTCACTGGTCTGACCGAGCAGGGCTCTTCTGAGGTTCTTCTCAGGGGAAGGCCTCGGCCTCTCTGCCCTGCTGCTGGCCCTCCAGAGGAACTGGTTGGCCACTGTGTGAGATGGGATGCTGGACTAGATGGACCCTCCCTGGTCTGACCCAGCAGGGCTTTTCTGGTGTCCTTATCAGGGGAAGGCCTCGGCCTCCCTGCCCTGCTGCTGGCCCTCCAGGGGGACTGGTTGGTCACTATGTGGGACAGGAGGCTGGACTGGATGGACCCTCCCTGGTCTGACCCAGCAGGGCTCTTCTGGTGTCCTTCTCAGGGGAAGACCTCGGCCTCTCTGCTGAGTTAGAATGGAGCCCCTTGTAAGACTGTAGCTCTTCTACAAAGAGGAAGCCAGGCCTATTTCTTAAGATGTCTTAGTGTTCTAACTGTTGTTCGCTGCCTCGTGACCACCTGGTGGCGAGAGGCAACACATAAACGTAATGAATTCATAAGGCCTCACAGACGCTTTTTGATCAGGGTCCTGAGCCTCTCTCCGTGACACACTGCCCAGAGGCGCTCTGCCCTTGCCTCCGTCTGGGAGGGGAGTTCCCGCCTCTGGTCTCTGAGCTGGAGCCAGGCCCCGGGAGTAAAGCCGGCTCCTGACCCTGACACCCGGCCCAGCCAGTCCCGTCATCCCACCACACAGCCCTCCTCCCGTCTCCCCCTGAAGAGGGTGCTGGGCCCTCCGTGTCCAACCCCCGTGGCGCAAACCCCAGCGCGCCCAGTGCTCTTGCACGACTCACTTTCTCCAAGCACGGGCAACTGCGGCAGGCATTGGTTATGCAAGTGGGCATCCTGGCCCAGTCGCAGATCACCTGCAACAGGATCCACTCCAAAGCGCAGCCAGGAAAGTTCCTCCCAGGGTGGTGAAGGGGAAGGTAAGACCCCCCTCCCCCCGAAATGGCTTAGCCGAGGCTCACGGGCGCCCCAGCCAGGAGCTCAGCGCTGGTGTGAGGGTGGGTCTCCGCCCTTTGGGGTCCAGCTGGGGCGAGGGGTTCCTCACCTGCCGCTCTGGTGGCCGAAGAGCAGGCCTCGTAGGGAGTGACTTTGTGGGAGTACCGCGTGCCGAGAGCTGTCGCCGTGCAAGTGTAGGATTTGTCCTTCTCGTCAGGACGCAGGGTGAGCTGAAGGGCTGAGCCAGGATGCCCGGGACCCCAGCTGTACTCCACCTGGGTCCTCGCCCCCACGCCGGCCTCACACAGCAGAGAGACGCTGCAGCTGCCGTCTGCCAAATGGCTTGCGGTGGCCTCGATTCCTGTGCAGGGGAGGGGGAGGGACACAGACAAGATTTATCTTTATTTGATTGCATTTGTATCCCGCCCTCCCCGCAAAGCGGGCTCAAGGCGGGTACCATCAAATGTAACATATAATAACTAAAAACAGTTTTAAATACAGCACAGTTTCTACATATCCCATCAGAGCCTCAACAGATGTAAAGGTAAAAGTTCCCTTGCTCGAAAGCCAGTTGAATCTGACTCTAGGGTTGCGGTGCTCATCTCCGTTTCCAAGCCGAAGAGCCAGCGCTGTCCGGAGACATTTCCGTGGTCATGTAGCCGGCATGACTAAACACCAAGGCGCACGGAACGCTGTTCCCTTCCCACCGAAGTGGTGCCTATTTATCTACTTGCAATTTCTTGCTTTCGGACTGCTAGATTGGCAGGAGCTGGAACTAGAGACGGGAGCTCACTCCGTCATGCGGTGCACTCGGGTCTCAAACTGCTGAACTACCGACCTTCAACAGCCTGCAGTTCAGCGTCTTAACCACTTGAGCCACCGCAGCTCCTCAACAGATGTAACCTGTCACAATTGGGTTCCAGATGTTCCTCAGGTCTGATCCACCAAAAGGGGAGGCCCAATAGATAGATAAAAAGGAGGATGCACGCCACGTCAACCAAAAGCCTGGTGGGAGAACTCTTGTCTTGCCGGCCCTGCAGAACTGTGAAAGGTCCCATAGGGCCCCCCTGGTCTCATAGGGGACCTCGTGCAGAAGGGGAAAGATCAGGAGACGTTTGGGCCTGTGGAAGTTCCCAAGGACCACTACCCTCACTCCCCCCCCCCACCCTCGCAAACTGGTTAGTGAAGTAGGAGACCCTCACCGGATCAAAACAGCCCAATTGCCCTCCCCCCAACAATGGTTTTGCTTTGCTTTATCTCCTCTGTGGTGCATTTGGATGTTCCCAAGGACCACTACCCTCACCCCCCCCCCCACCCTCGCAAACTGGTTAGTGAAGTAGGAGACCCTCACCGGATCAAAACAGCCCAATTGCCCTCCCCCCAACAATGGTTTTGCTTTGCTTTATCTCCTCTGTGGTGCATTTGGATCTGTCCTGTCTGCTGCATGGGGGGAAAGCCGTTTGGGCCTGGCAACACTCCATTTTATTTGACGCCCTAAGTTGGGATCGTGGTTAAGTGCACGGACTCTAATCTGGGAGAGCCGGGTTTGATGCCCCACTCCTCCCCCACTTGCACCTGGCGGGATGGCCTTGGGCCAGACGTAGTTCTGACAAGAGCTGTCCTTGAAAAAAGAGCAATTTCTGACAAGAGCTCTCTCAGCCCCACCTGCCTCACAGGGTGTCTGTTGTGGGGAGGGGAAGGGAAGGGAAAGGAGTTTGTAAGCTGCTCTGAGACTTCTTTGGTTAGTGAAGTGTGGGGTATAAATCCAATTTCGTGGGCACTCCATGAAACTCGTGGGCACTCCATAAAATCGCTGAGCGGTCGGGTTAGAACGGATAAAAGGAAGTCCTTCTTCACCCAAAGAGTGATTAACACTTGGAATTCACTGCCACCGGAAGTGGTGGCGGCTACAAGCATGGACGGCTTCAAAAGGGAATTAGATAAGCATAAGGAGCAGAGGTCCATCAGTGGCTATTAGCCACAAGGGATAGATGGGGGCTCTGGGGCAAGGGATGCTCTGTCTTCTTGTTGCTTGGGTGGGGGGGTCAACAGTGGGAGGGCTTCTGGTGTCCTGGCCCCACTGCTGGACCTCCTGATGGCCCCTGGTATTTCTGGCCACTGTGTGACCCAGAGTGTTGGACTGGATGGGCCTTTGGCCTGATCCAACATTGGCGTCTCTTATGTTCTTATGTTAATCTCCTCCTCCTCCTCCTCCTCCTTTAAGGTGTAGTGGTTTAGTGCACGGACTCTAATCTGGGAGAACCGGGTGTCAAGAGCTCTCTCAGCCCGACCTACCTCACAGGGGGTGTCTGTTGTGGGGAGGGGAAGGGAAAGGAGTTTGGAAGCCGCTCTGAGACTCTTCTGGGTAGTGAAGGGCCATGGGGTAGAAGTCCAATCTCCGCCTCCTTTTTCTTCTTCTTTTGTGTAGTGGTTAAACCGGGTTTGATTCCCCCACTCCTCCTCCACTTGCGCCTGGCTGGATGACCTTGGGCAAGCCATCATTCTGGCAAGAGCTGTTCTTGGAAAAAGAGCAGTCTCTCTGTCAGAGCTCTCTCAGCCCCGCCTACGTGACAGGGTGTCTGTCTGTTGTGGGGAGGGGAAGGGGAAGGAGTTTGTAGGCCGCTCTGAGACACCTTCGGGTAGCGAAAGGCCATGGGGTATAAATCCAATCTCTTCTTCTTCTTTTTGTGCCACGTGGTGCTGTGATTGATTATTGCTTTTGGGAAAGTGGGGTATAGATGTTGCAATCCATGACTGAAAAAAGCCCCTCTGGGCTGGGAGCCGAGTGAGCAGCCCCGATCCCCCTGCCATTAACACAGAAAGGAGAGGATGCCGAGGATCTTTTGTTTTGTGGGGCATATTTCTTTTATTGTGGGGCAACCATTATGAGAGAATGAAGGGCGTTGTAAAATAATATGTTATAGTCAGGGGTCATTTCCTGTGGGAGCGCACAGGAGCGGAGCTCCGGCAGTAAGGAGCCCAGGGGGTGGGCACATGCAACAAACCACGCCCCCTGCTCCCAGCAGCCCTCAGTCGGGCCACGAGGATCAAGAAGCAGCCAGGTAAGTTGCAGAGCCCCCCACCCACCTTCAGGCACAAGCTCACCCTCCTCTGCGAGGACAGATCTGCGCATTCCCCCCCCCCGAATAGCTGGCAACCCAAAACAGTCCAGTGGAGCCTGAGCGGTGGGCGTTGCCTTCTGACACACTTCCCGTGATGTCAGGGGGCGTGGCATATGCAAATAAGTTATGCAAATAAGTTATACTAATGAGCTCCCGCACCTCTTTTTCTACAAAATGACCCTGGTTATATCTATGGATATATGTACCAGTACCAATGTTGCATGTGATGATGATGATGATGATGAAAAAGAGATAGATTTATACCCCTGGCTCTTCACTCGGAGTCTCAGAGCGGCTTATAAACTCCTTCCCTTCCCCTCCCCACAACAGACACCCTGTGAGGGAGGTGGGGCTGAGAGGGCTCTTTCAGGAAGTGCCCTTGAGAGAAGAGCCCTGACAGAACTATGGCTTGCCCAAGGTCATCCAGCAGCTGCAAGCAGAGTAGTGGGGAATCAAACCCGGTTCTCTTAGATTAGAGTCCACGCACTTAACCACTACACCAAAGTGGCTAGGTTGTATATAAATAACTTGCAAGAATGCTGAAGCATAGAATCGTAGAACCATAGAGTTGGAAGGGGCCATAGAGGCCATCCAGTCTGACCCCCTGGCTCCATGCAGGATCAGCCCAGAGCATCCCTGACCAGGGTTTGTCCAGCCGCTGCTTCAAGACTGCCAGGGAGGGGGAGCTCACCACCTTCCCAGGCAGCCCATGCCACTGCTGCACAACTCTGGCTCCGGTGAGGGTCTCCTACTTCACAAACCAGTTTGCGAGGGTGGGGGGGGGAGTGAGGGTAGTGGTCCTTGGGAACTTCCACAGGCCCAAACATCTCCTGATCTTTCCCCTTCTGCACGAGGTCCCCTATGAGACCAGGGGGGCCCTATGGGACCTTTCACAGTTCTGCAGGGCCAGTAAGACAGAGGCTGTACGTTGGCGCAGCATTCTGTTTCACCCCCCCTTCATATCCACCCATCTTGGCACCCCCCCGTCCCCCTCCCAGCCCTTTCCATGGTTGATTCACTAGTCTATTGCTTAAGAATCAAAGCCCTGTTCCCTATCCTCCAAGCCATCTGTTTCCTTCCTCATTCCAATTCCCCACCCAAGCCTCTTGTGGGGCGGGGCTGTAAATTAAGGGGACTCCACAGCTTAGAAGGAGCATTGCGTGAGAGGGTATCTTTGAATTTCCTTCATTGTGCTGGGGCTGGGCTGGATGACCCCTGAGGCCTTTCACTACATGTAGGAGTCTCAGAGCGGCTTCTAATCACCTTTCCTTCCTCTCCCCACAGCAGGCACCCTGTGAGGGAGGTGGGGCTGAGAGAGCTTCAAGAGAACTGTGACTGACCCAAGGTCACCCAGCTGGCCGCATGTGGCAGAGGAGTGAAGAAGGAGATTGGATTGGATTTATCCCCCATGGCCCTTCACTGCCCAGAGGAGTCTCAGAGCGGCTCACAAACTCCTGTCCCTTCCCCTCCCCACAACAGACACCCCCTGTGAGGCAGGTGGGGCCGAGAGAGCTCTTTCAAGGACTGCTCTTGAGAGAACAGCTCTGACAGAACTACGGCTTGCCCAAGGTCATCCAGCCAGGTGCAAGTGGAGGAGTGGCCGGACTCAAACCCGGCTCTCCCAGATTAGAGGCTGCACTGTGCCAGGGGGTTGGACTAGATGGCCTGTAGGGCTCCTCCCAACTCTGCGTGATTCTGTGATTCTATAGCACTTGGGAGAGGGGCCCCCAAGGAAGGCTCTGCAGAGGAAGGCGATGGCAAACTGCCTCCGCTTCTCCTTCGCCTTGGAAGCCCCTTGCTCCGGTCGCCGTAAGTCAGCAGTGACTTGGCGGCACTTTACACACACACAGACACACAATCATCCGTTCTTGTTTTGGGTGTGTGTGTGTGTGTAAAGTACTACATTTCACTTTTCAGTCAAATCAGTTGCTCAAATCAGAGCCAGTTTGGTGTCGTGGTGAAGTGCGCGGACTCTAATCTGGGAGAGCCGGGTCTGATTCCCCACTCCTCCACTTGCAGCTGCTGGATGACGTTGGGCAAGCCGTAGTTCTGACAACAGCTGTTCTTGAAAAAGAGCCGTTTCTGTCAAGAGCTCTCTCAGCCCCACCCATCTCACAGGGTGTCTGCTGTGGAGAGGGGAAGGGAAAGGAGTTTGTCAGTTGCTCTGAGACTCCTCTGGGTAGTGAAGGGCCATGGGGTATAAATCCATTCTCCTCCTCTTCTTCTCATCTTTATTTGATATTTTATGTATTTATTTAATGAATTTATTTGGATTTATATCCTGCCCTGCCCGCAAGCAGGCTCAGGGCAGGTGTTTGTGATAGCATGATTATAAAATAGTAACCACGAAAAAGTAAAATAGAACATATTAGTTTTGGCTGCAAAGTGAAAAGCAGTAATGAACACTCCCCCCCCCCGATACGCTTCAAGAATTGATAAATTAAGTATGGATTCATGCATGTGGAGGGGCCGTGGCTCAGTGGAAGAGCCTCTGCTTGGCATGCAGAAGGTCCCAGGTTCAATCCCCGGCTTACCTAGTTGAAAGAACCAGGCAGGAGGTGATGGGAAAGACCTCCGCCTGAGACCCTGGAGAGCTGTAAAGAGGGGCTGTGGCTCAGTGGCAGAGCCTCTGCTTGGCATGCAGAAGGTCCCAGGTTCAGTCCCCGGCATCTCAAGTTAGAAAGGGCCAGGCAATAGGTGATAAGGACATAAGAACATAAGAGATGCCCATGTTGCATCAGGCCAAAGGCCCATCCAGTCCAACACTCTGTGTCACACAGTGGCCAGAAATACCAGGTGCCCTCAGGAGGTCCAGCAGTGGGGCCAGGACACTAGAAGCCCTCCCACTGTTGACCCCCCCCCAAGCACCACCACCTGAGACCCTGGAGAGCTGTAAAGAGGGGCTGTGGCTCAGTGGCAGAGCATCTGCCTGGCATGCAAGAGGTCCCAGGTTCAATCCCTGCAAGCATCATCAGCCAAAAGAACCAGGTGGTAAGTGATGTGAAAGACCTCAGCCAGAGAACAGCTGCCAGTTTGAGTAAAGGTAAAGGTTCCCTTGCTCAAAAGCCAGTCAAATCCGATTCTAGGGTTGCGGTGCTCATCTCCGTTTCAAAGCCGAAGAGCCAGCGCTGTCCGAAGACGTTTCCGTGGTCATGTGGCCGGCATGACTAAACACCAAGGCGCACGGAACGCTGTTACCTTCCCACTGAAGTGGTACCTATTTATCTACTTGCAATTTCTTGCTTTCGAACTGCTAGGTTGGCAGGAGCTGGAACTAGAGATGGAAGCTCACCCCGTCATGCGGCACACTCGGGTCTCGAACTGCTGAACTACCAACCTTCCAGCCTGCAGTTCAGCATCTTAACCACTTGAGCCACCGCAGCTGAGTAGCAGGGGTCCTTCCTTACAGGAGCGCACAGGAGCGGAGCTCCGGCAGTAAAGAGCCCAGGGGGCGGGCACATGCAACAAGCCCCACCTCCTGCTCCCAGCAGCCCTCAGTCAGAGCAAGAAGCAGCCAGGTAAGTTGCAGAGCTCCCTCCCCCCGGCCCCCCAGTCCAAAACAGTCCAGTGGCACCTTTAAGGCCAAGGTTTATTCAGGTACAAGCTCTCCCTCCTCTGCGAGGACAGGTCTGCACATTCCCCCCCCCCAATAGCTAGCAATCCAAAAGAGTCCAGTGGAGCCTGAGTGGTGGGTGTTGCCTTCTGACAGACGTCCGGTGATGTCAGGGGGTGTGGCATATGCAAATAGGTTATGCTAATGAGCTCCTGCACCTCTTTCTCTACGACATGACCCCTGCTGAGTAGTAGACAGCGCTGACCTTGATGGACCAGAAGGTCTGGTTTGGTACAAGGCAGCTTCCTGTCTGTGCAATGATGCCTTGTTTGTCTGCGGGGGAGACGGGAACTCAAGAAGGGAGCCAAAAGCAGAAAAAGTCGAAGAGGACATAGAAAAGCAGCATCCCTGAGAAACCTCCAGAGCGCTTTGAATGTCCCCATTGGGAAGCCTGGGACTGCGGTGGCCTTTCATGTCAAAGGGAAAGGCAGGAGGGCACTAGGGGAAACAGCGGAATGCAACAAAATCCTCGGGGTTCCCTGTTAAAACGGAGCGAGTGAAAGCTGGGGGACGAGCTTGACCTGTAATCTGCGAAGCCGCTTTGAGGGGCAGGGAACCCAAGCGAGGGGCTCCTCCTCCTCCTCCTCACTTAGGTGGCCAGAACTTACTGAATACGGCCAGGGTGTACTTCTTCAGCAGTAGGTCGGAAGGCTCCCGGCGCTCCAGCACTTCGTAGCGGCCCCCGTCGGCGGTGCTCAGGTTGCGGATTCCTAAGGCCCAGCTCTCCTTGCGGAAGGTGACTCTTCCAGAGTAACTGGGATCCAGGACATTGAGGGAGAACTCTGGGTCCCACGTCGCCACCGCTCCCATAGAACCCCTCGAGGAAGACCTCCAAAGGAGATTGGAGATGTTGGACCCCCGCGGAACCTCCAGCGACAAGGTTGCCTCGTCTCCCGCTTGGTAAATGAGGTCCTGGTTGGGGGTCAGCTCCGCGGGGGCCAGTCCTGCAAACACAAAGCCAGAAGCGACATGAGGAGGAACCAAAGGTGGCGGCGGGGGTAGGGGGGAGAGAGAATGAGCTCACGATCCAGCAGGGGACATGCACAGACAATGCCGGGGGATGTGTGTTGTTGTTTCTTGTTCTAAACTGTTACACATTTTGGGCCACTCACACCATCCCTCAGCCTCACCCACCTCACAGGGATGCTGTGAGGATAAAAATGGAGGAGAGGGGAAAGAGGAGGAGGAGGTTGGATTTATGCCCCACCCTTCACTACTTGAAGGAGTCTCAAAGCGGCTTACAATCTCCTTTCCCTTCCCCTCCCCACAACAGACACCCTGTGAGGCAGGTGGACCTGAGAGAGCTCTCTCGAGGTCTGCTCTTGAGAGAACAGCTCCGGGAGAACTTGTGACTGGCCCAAGGTCACACCAGCAGGCGCATGTGGGGGGAGTGGGGATCAAACCCAGTTCTCCCAGATTAGAGTCCATGCTCCTAACCACTGCACCAAACTGGCTCTCACGGAAGGTGCTATGGGTCCCCGCTGGGGAGAAAGGTGAGGTACAAAGGAAATAAATAAATGTACAAATTTTTATTTTATTTCAGGCATTTATTATTGGCCTTTCTTCCTGACGGAGCTTAAGGTGGCTCACACCTTAGGTAAAACCCCCAGAATAAAAGACCTTAAAACATAAAACCCAGAAATTTAAAAATCACGGTTTAGAACTGTTTTAATCTAATACTGTCGTGAATAAGATCTCTCTGTAGAAGAAGAAGAGATTGGATTTATACCCTGCCCTTCACTCGAAGTCTCAGAGCGGCTCACAATCTCCTTTCCCTTCCACTCCCCACAACAGACACCCTGTGAGGCAGGTGGGGCTGAGAGAGCTCTGACAGAAACTGCTCTTTTCCGAGGACAGCTCTTGTCAGAACTATGGCTTGCCCAAGGTCATCCAGCCAGGTGCAAGTGGAGGAGTGGGGAACCAAACCCGGTTCTCCCAGATTAGAGCCCACGCACTTAACCACGACACCACACTGGCTCTGTAGCAGTCGAAAAGAGCAAGAGTCCAGCAGCAATTTAAAGACTAATGCAATTTGTGGCAGGGGGTGAGCTTTCGCGAGTCCATCTGTCCTTCTATCACAACAAGGTTAATGGGTTCCCCTTGTGTGCAGCCAAGTGCAGCACCTTCCATGGAGGTAGATCAAGGTGGGTAGAGCCATGCGACTCTGTCTGTAGCAGTACCTGAATCAAGACTAACAAAATTTGTGGCAGGGGAGGAGCTTCTGTGAGTCACGGCTCACTTTTTCTTGTTTTAGTGGGCATCACTTTACACTTACCCATGATACATTCTAGTTGTATCTGCAGAAGTGAGCCGTGACTCATGAAAGCTCCTCCCCTGCCTAGAGATGTAAAATTTCCGGAAATTTTGAAGCTCGGGAAAAAAACCAGGGTTTTTTTCGTTTTTTTTCCCGGAAGAAAACGGAAATTTTCGGAAAAATTGAAAAAAATGCTACATTAGCATTTCTTTTGTCTTTCCTAGTTTGAAAGTCATTCTGTTACTTTAGGAACATAAAATATGACTATGGACATTTTTACCTGGTATGAAATTATCACAACTAGCATACTAAAAAATATAGTGTATCCAAACAATTATTACAGAATACCCACCCACATGCAAAAACAAAACTGAAACCTTTTTCTTTTCTCCTGACAATAGCACCTCCTAATGGAAGAAATGCATCTTGTTCTTGCATTGGAGAGTTCAGTTTGTAACCTAGGACTTGCTTGTCCTCAGTGCACAGAAATTACATCAATCTGATACCATATATATATATTTTAGAAATGATTTGGAAAATATTTGAACACCTGGTCTTAAAATATTTTATTCATCATGTTAAAATAAAACGTTCCATAATCATTTTTTTTTCTTTTCTTTTTTCAATTTTTCCAATTTTTCAGAAAAAAACAAAAAGGTTTCAGGAAAAAAACGGGGGGGAAACGGTTTCCCCACGAATTTTTCCGGTTTTTTTCCGGGCCTTCACATCTCTACCCCTGCCACAGATTTCTTTAGTCTTTACGGAGCTCCTGTTTCCTCTGAGCTGAGTTAGTGAGAGCCAGCTCACAGTTTTTCAGCCTCCGGCTCATACATTTTTGTCTTAGCTCAGGCAGGATGGCTCCAGAGCAAACCAATTTATGCAGTAGCCAAATGGCTGGCTCACAACTTTAATTCCGGTAGCTCACGAAGTAGAATTTTTGCTCACAAGACTCCACAGCTTAGAGGGAACAGGCTCTTTTCTACTGTCATGAATAAAACTGTCTCCAGCTTCCGCCTGAAGATCAAAAGCGAGGGGGCCAGGTGCACCCCTCCGGGGAGGTTGTTCCTTAATCACTGGGCCGCCACCGACCCGGCTGGCGGCTGGGGGGGGGGGGGGGGGGCGGGAGGATGAGGCTGTTACTGACCGTCTTAATTTGTTGGAATGTTAGCTTTCACTTCTCTCACAGTGCCTTATCATGTAGCCTGCTCTAGTGACCTTGGCATTTCCCCCTTTTCTCTGACTCGGTAAGTGCACCCGTTATTTTTGGGGTGCTTGCCTTTCTTGGCTTGGATCCATCAGGAGGGCCCCTTATGAACTCTGTCTCTCTGTCACCTCTCCCGCCTTAAGATCAGTTCTGACCCTGGATGTGTATAACAGCTGAACTGCCTTTCCTGCCTCCAATACAGCTTTACTCTTTGGAGAGAAAGTGTGGAGGGCTGATTGCTGCGGGAGGGCTTTAAAGGTCAAAACCAACCCTTTGAATGGGGCTCAGGGGTGGATCTGTCTGACTCCTCCTATGCTAACTGCCGCATGGAGTCGTCCTGACAACTGTCCTCGCCACCAAAAACTAGAATGTTCTCCCACAACCTCTTTTGGAGGCAAGAGGAAAATTCAAGGGTGTTGCTAACTGACCAGAGCAAAGGAGGTCGGCCAGTTCCGGGGAGGGTGAGCAGGAAACAGAGGGCCTGGCCCCACTGCTGGACCTCCTGAGGGCCCCTGGTATTTCTGGCCACTGTGTGACACAGAGTGTTGGACTGGAGGGGCCATTGGCCTGATCCAGCATGGGCTTCTCTTTTGTTCTTATGTCCAATGGCCTCCCATTTCAAAGTTTTAAAAATTCCAGCATCTGAGGTACCTAGACAGCTTTTGGGGGGAGGCTCTCTCCTTGAGTGTGCCGGAAGCTGCCAGCACCACCCTTGAGCCGCTGTTTTGGAGCCCCACCCCAAGGCACCAGCATGGCCCATTTCAGTTCTGGAACTCAACTCCACCAGGAGTTTGTCAGGGGGGAGAGTGAGTCACACAGGAGCCCTCCTGACTCAGCCGCCACATCCGCCAGCAGTCCTGCAGTTCCTCCAGAATCTGTGACAAAACCCCCACGGGGTGGGGAGCATATTAAAGGTAAAGGTTTCCCTTGCTTGAAAGCCAGCCGAATCCGGCTCTAGGGGGCGGTGCTCATCTCTGTTTCCAAGCTGAAGAGCCAGCGCTGTCCGCAGACGTCTCCGTGTTCATGTGGCCGGCATGACTAGATGCCGAGGCACACGGAATGCTGTTACCTTCCCACCGAAGCGGTGCCTATTTATCTACTTGCAATTTCTTGCTTTCGAACTGCTAGGTTGGCAGGAGCTGGGGCCAGAGACGGGAGCTCACTCACTCCGTCCTGCGGCACACTCGGGTCTCAAACTGCCGAGCTAGTGACCTTCCAGTCTGCAGCTCAGCCTCTTAACCTCTGAGCCACCGCGGCCCCTGGGAAGATATTAGCCTGGTGCGAAAAGTCCTTCCTGATCGACAGATGCACGAGGACACTGTCACCCTGATATCTGTCCACCCCAAAGTTGTGGTCAATCAGACAAGGGAAGTCACACACACACACACACACCCTTGCCCCGTTTGTAATCTCTTCCTGATGGGCTGTTTGTTTTTCACTACCAAACTGAGGTTGGAGGATGCTGAGCGGAGAGTCACCCCCACGCCCTTCTTGCATGCAGTCACTTACGAAACCTCTTCCTCCCCCTATGACAGTGATGGCGAACCTTTTAGAGACCAAGTGCCCAAACTGCGACCCAAAACCCACTTATTGATCGCAAAGAGCCAACACGGCAATTTAACCTGAATGCTGAGGTTTTACTTTAGAATAACAACTCATACATTAACTTAAGATGATCCAAACAAAGTAAGGAAAGCAATCCCAAATGCTTTCATTTACTTAAAATTATTTGGCAGAGAATTCGGCACTTTAATGACGGTCTGGGCCTGGCTGGGGCGATGGCACACGTGCCCACAGAGAGGGCTCTGAGTGCCACCTCTGGCACCTGTGCCATAGGTTCGCCACCACTGCCCTATGACAAGCAGTCTTCCCTCTAAGCGGAGTGAGTGTGAGCCAGCTCACAGTTTCTTAGCCTCCGGCTCACACATTTTTGCCTTAGTTCAGGAAGGAGGGCTCCAGAGAGCAAACTAACTTATGCAGGAGCCAAATCGCTCGCTCACAACTTTAATGCCACTAGCTCACAACAAGTAGAGTTTTTGCTCACAAGACACCACAGCTTAGTGGGAGCATTGGTGACAAGCCTCAGTGGGTCTTTCAGGATGCCAGTGGGAAAGGGGCCCTCCCAAGAGGTGCCCCCTCCATCCCGGGCAGTGCCACGGATGATGCTGTCTGAAGGCCGGAAAAGAAGCGGCAGCATCCTCACATCCGACATCGGGACGCCGGTGCCACTTGAGAGCTCTTGGTATAGCTAGGGGCTCTGGGGCAAGAGATGCTCTGTATTCTTGGTGCTTGGGGGGGGGGTCAACAGTGGGAGGGCTCCTAGTGTCCTCCTGGCCCCACTGGTGGACCTCCTGAGGGCCCCTGGTATTTCTGGCCACTGTGTGACACAGAGTGTTGGACTGGATGGGCCTTTGGCCTGGTCCAGCATTGGCTTCTCTTATGTTCTTAGAGCCTAAAATAGACGGCTTAAAAAGGCTGCCAGGCAGGGCCAGGCGTGATCGGGCCTGCAGTGCAGGGGGACGAGGCGCTCTTGTTCCCCAGTGTGCCCTTTTCATGCCCCCCCCTTTCAGGACTTGATAAGGTGCCGTGGGGGGACAAGCACACTTGGTCCTGCCACGCCATGGGCAGTGTTCCCTCTAAGCTGTGGAATCTTGTGAGCAAAAATTCTACTTTGTGAGCTGCTGGCATTAAAGTTGTGAGCAAGCAATTTGGCTCCTGCACCAATTAGTTTGCTCTGGAGCCCCATCCCTTCCTGAGCAAAGACAAAAATGTGTGAGCCGGAGGCTAAAAAACTCTGAGCTAGCTCACACTAACTCAGCTTAGAGGGAACAGTGGCCATGGGTCCAATCAGGATCAGTCTCTCCCAGCACTTTGTAAGTCACCCACTTCAGGCTTTGAAATGGCAGCGGCGTCACCAGGTTGGACATGAGGACACCGTCACATTGCGTTTGGCCCTGCGGGGCAGCCACTGGCTCACACACAGTGGTGCTCACAGTGGCAGAATGCCTTCCGCTGCTCCCCACTCCTGACAGAAGCGCAGCAGGCAAAGTTGCCGGCGCATGAACTACAAAAACCACACCTTGGTGTGACTTGTGGCCCAGTGCGGGGCTCCAAAATCAGTTGTTTTACAGACAGGCTGCTGACCTAAGGCAATTTCTCACCTGCAAGGACAAACGGCTTGACAGTGACACGGACTCTAGCGCCAAGGGGGCAACTTTGCTCTCCTATGGATCCTAGCAACCTCCACCAGGCTATCTCAGGTTCCCACTCCTGTTTATCCTCTGAGGTGATTTCTGCCGTCACATGTCAGCCGTGCCCTTCCGCCCTCTACGTTGGACAAACAGGACAGTCCGACAAAGAATTCATGGACGTGAGGCTGACATCAGGAACCACAACATTCAAAAACTAGTGGGGGAACATTTTAACCTTCCAGGACATTCAGTTGCTGACCTAAGAGCAGCAGCCCTCTTACAAAGGAATTTCAAAGGGAGATTAGAAAGAGAGACGGCTGAACTGCAACGGATAACGAAGCTCAAGACAATGCATCCACCTGGACTGAATCGAGATCTCGGTTTCCTGTCTCATCACCAGTGCTGATTTCTCCACACCTACTGCCTCTCAGCATATCCCACCTAATCCAATCACGCCTGCTATTGTCATTTGCCTGCTAATGTCATTTGCCATCTAAAACCATGCCAGTTTCCAATATATAGGACAGATGGACTCCCATTCTAGCTGTATCTGAAGAAGTGAGCCGTGACTCATGAAAGCTCCTCCCCTGCCACAGTTTTTGTTAGTCTTTAAGGTGCTCCTGGACTCTGGCTCTTTCCTGCCGCCCTGTCCCCATCACCTTCTCTTGAAAGTCCGGCTGTATGACGAATATCTCTCCTGCCCAGTTCCAAGGCAAAAAGACAGCCAGGCTGGGAAGCAGAGAGCAGTGGAGTGGAGGAGACAGGGTTTGTAGTCACACGTCACATTTTGGCAAAACGACAACAGCGCCCCGTTCAAAGCCCCCCTGAGACCCTCCGTGAGGGAAGGGGGGGATGGCGAAGAGGCTCATCCGGTGCCAGTTCACGCTGTCCTCTGTCATCCTGAGGCACGGGGGGGGGGGGAAAGGAGGGTCCGGGGGCAAAGGAAACAACCCCAAGAAGAGCCGGATTGGGAAGTCCGGGAGCACCGGAGTCACCAACCAGATTTGGGGTGTCGGTGTCAGAGTTCCACACAATCAGGTCCCAACAACTTTCCTTCAAAAGAGTGAAGTTTATTGAGCACAGTAAAGATGGGTCATCTGTAGACACTTGTTGCGTCAGAACTAACCATAAAGCCTGTGTAGCCAAGTGATATACATCATTCAAAGAGGTCAGGGGGTGGCGTGGAGCCAATCGGGTGCCTAGCAAAGCCCGCTCAAGCTAACGTACATACATTAAGAACATAAGAAACGCCAATGTGGGATCAGGCCAAAGGCCCATCCAGCCCAACACTCTGTGTCACACAGTGGCCAGAAATACCAGGGGCCATCAGGAGGTCCTGCAGTGGGGCCAGCCCTCCCACTGTCGGCCCCCCCCCAAGCACCAAGAATACAGAGTATCACTTGCCCCAGAGCCCCTATCTATACCTTGTGGCTAAGAGCCACTGATGGACCTCTGCTCCATATGCTTATCTAATTCCCTCTTGAAGCCTTCCATGCTTGTAGCCACCACCACTTCCTGTGACATTCCCAGAGAAAGGAGTTAAGACAGCACCAAGATGGCTACAGGGTGGTAAGGCAGACAGCAGAAATGAAACTTAACATTCCCAGAGCAAGACATAGGCAGAAATGAAACTTAACATTCCCAGAGCAAGCATTCCCAGAAGAAATGAAACTTAACATTCCCAGAGCAAGACACAGGCAGGTTACACAAAGGCAGTTCATCCAGCAGGCCTCCCCCTAGCCACCACGGCAGCTGCATAGCTGACTGTAGGAGCTTTCAAGGGAGCCTGGACCCCTGAAAGCTTGCACCCCTGCAATTCTTGCTGGTCTCTTAGGTGCTGCTGAACTCGAACCCAGCTCTTCCCCTGGAGACCAACCCGGCCACCCTCCGAGACGAACCCCAAGAGGGGAATAGGCAGCGGAATGAATTATACCTAGAAATGAAACCGCAGTCGGGCTGGTTTCCTGATGTGACCAGCTTCCATACCAAGAGTAAAGGGCCTGACTCACATTCTTAGAGTGACATAAAAACCACATCCATCCTGATCGCTTTTGCAGCAGGCCTCTGCAAAGTCGGTGCCCCCCCCCTTCCCTGCTTCCCAGCCTCCCGGGGTTCAGGCCACTCCGCCAAGCTGGCCCGTCTCCCCTCCCCTCCCCTCGCAGATCCACAGGCAGCTTAGCTCCCAAAGCAACTGGGCATTTCATGCGTCCCCCCCACACCACACACACACACCGCAGCACTGACCTGCCAAGCTGCATCAGAAGCACTGAAGTGCAAGGTGACTTTTTAACCATGCGCATCAGTTGCCCAGAAGCAAAACCCATTCTCTGACCGGCTCCCACACCCCCCAGGGAAGGCAGCATCACCCCCCCCCCAGACTCTCAGGTGTCGCTAGAGGAGGGGAGAAGCAGAGCGAGGCGGGGGGGGTCAGCCGTCTGGTCCCAAGAAAGCGTCTCTGAGCATATGAGGAGGGCCTGCCCCAGCCACTGAGAAGCCTAGAGCCCTCCGGGGCAGGCATTTTAGAGGCCAAGTCCGAGAACCTCCCCCCCCCCCGGTGAGGCCAGGCCAGTTAGATGGGGATGGCGAAGGCCAGAGGGAGGGAACTTTGCATTTCTCTGCCCAAGAAGAATTTTGGAGTGAAGCAGGAGCGGAACTCACTTGCCGCCTGGAGCACCAAGGCCCAGAGGATGGGGCTGAGAGGGGAGCAGACGTCCATCCTGGCGAGGACCCGACCTGTGGGAGGGACTCCCTGCAGCTGTCTTCAGGAGGGTGGCCACCGCTTCTCCTCTGCCCGTGGCCGGCTGCTGAGGAGGCACAGGGAAGACCACACTTCTCCCTCGGTCGGCCGGCTCTTGTAGCCCCAGAGCTGAGGCCGGTGGACCGCCCAGAGGGGGTGGTGCTCATGGAGGGGCCGGGCCCGTGGGCACCACCCCAAAAGTGCCAGGAGCAGCTTTTCTGATTCGCAGCACCAGACCGCGACGCTGCAGATGAGAAGGTGGAAGCGGCTGCCAGCTCTCCTGGCCACAGTTTCTGTGCCAGCCTGCGGGCCGCAACACGTTGTGCCATGTGCCAAGGGAGCACAACCCCTGCAAAGAGGCCCGTTGCGGTGCCCAGGAACTTCCACCTTGCGTAGACAGGCTGCCTGCTGCATGGGGCTTTCTTTCTTGGTGAGAGGCTTCGAGGAAGGTGGCCCTGCCTGCGGTGACAGAACAGCTCAGCTCAGCAGACCACCCTCCCCCTCTCCGTGCGGCAGGCCTGAACAAGAGTCTGGGACTTTTTAGCTTAGAAAAGAGATGACTCGGGGGGGGGGACACATGGGAGAGGTTTAGAAAATGATGCCGTGGGGTGCAGAGAGTGGAGAGAGAGAAGGTCTCCTCCCTCTCCCCAAAGACCGGAACTCGAGGTTACCCAACTGAACCGATGGGCAGTAGGTTCGGGAGGGACAAAAGGAAACACTACTTTACACAGACAGTGATTAAAATGTGGACTTCACTGCCCGAGGATGTAGTGATGGCCACAGTGACAGCTTTGGAGAGGGATTAGAGAGATTCATGGAGGATACGTCTATCGGTGGCTACTAGCCATGGTGGCTGAGGGGAACCTCCACCTTCAGAGGCACTAAACATCTGACTCCAGAGTCAGGAGGCAAGATCATGTCTATTGGCCCTCCAGAATAAGTGTTTGGCCACTGGGTGAGACGGGAGGCTGCACTAGATGGACCCTCCCTGGTCTGATCCAACAGGGCTCTTCTGATGTTCTTCTCAGGGGGAGGCCTTGGGCTCTCTGCCCTGTTGCTGGCCCTCCAGAGGAACTGGTTGAGGCCACTGGGTGACACAGGGGGCTGGACTGGTAGGACCCTCCCTGGTCTGACCCCGCAGGGCTCTTCTGGTGTTCTTCTCAGGGGGAGGCCTCGGCCTCTCTGCCCTGTTGCTGGCCCTCCAGAGGAACCGGTTGAGGCCACTGGGTGAGACAGGAGGCTGGACTGGATGGACCCTCCCTGGTCTGACCCCGCAGGGCTCTTCTGGTGTTCTTCTCAGGGGGAGGCCTCGGCCTCTCTGCCCTGTTGCTGGCCCTCCAGGGGAACTGGCTGGCCCACATGTGAGACAGGAGGCTGGACTGGATGGACCCTCACTGCACTGGTCTGATCCAGCAGGGCTCTTCTGATGTTCTCCTCAGGGGAAGGCCTCGGCCTCTCTGCCCTGCTGTTGGCCCTCCAGGGGAACTGGTTGGCCCCTGTGTGAGACAGGAGGCTGGACTGGATGGACCCTCACTGGTCTGACCCAGCAGGGCTCTTCTGAGGTTCTCCTCAGGGGAAGGCCTCGGCCTCTCTGCCCTGTTGTTGGCCCTCCAGAGGAACTGGTTGGCCCCTGTGTGAGACGGGAGGCTGCACTGGATGGACCCTCAGTGGTCTGACCCAGCAGGGCTCTTGTGAGGTTCTCCTCAGGGGAAGGCCTCGGCCTCTCTGCCCTGTTGTTGGCCCTCCAGAGGAACTGGTTGGCCCCTGTGTGAGACAGGAGGCTGGACTGGATGGACCCTCACTGGTCTGACCCAGCAGGGCTCTTCTGGTGTTCTTCTCAGGGGAAGAACATAAGAGAGAAGCCAATGTTGTTTGGTCCCCCCCCCCCCGTTGGCATTGTTTTGCATGATTTTCATCGGCTTCCATTTTGACTGTATGATTTTTCTTCCACATCTGATCCCTGTAATACTGTTGGTATGCACAAACATATAAAGATGCTTTTGCAGTGATCCCTTCATTTCATTTATCTTCAGGGCTCTAGTCGGGGGGGAGCTCTCAGGTATGGAGCTCCGGAAGAGAACCTCTAGGGGGTGGGGCGGTCACGTGGTGAAGCCCCGCCCCTTCTTTACCCCGCCCTCTGCTTCGATCCTCATTCCGTTTGGGAATGAGGATGAAGCAGGAGGGTAAGTAGCCGGGCCTTCTGACACACTTCCGGTGATGTCAGGGGGTGTGGCCTTCTGTCACTTCCGGTGATGTCAGGGGGCGTGGCATATGCAAATAAGTTATGCTAATGAGTTATGCTAATGAGCTCCGGCAGCTCTTTTTCTACAACAAGACCCCTGATCTTATACACCTCAATCATGTCACCCCTCAGCCATTGTTTCTCCAAGCATGGATGGCTTCAAGTGGAAATTGGATAAACATATGGAGCAGAGGTCCATCAGTAGCTATTAGCCACAAGCTCTAGATAGGAACTCTCAGGCTGGGGCAAGGGATGCTCTGTATTCTTGGTGCATTGGGGGGGGGCAACAGTGGGAGGGCTTCTAGTGTCCTGGCCCCACTGATGGACCTCCTGAGGGCTCCTGGTGTTTTTGGCCACTGTGTGACACAGAGTGTTGGACTGGACGGGCCATCGGCCTGATCCAACATTGGCTTCTCTCTTAGGTTCTTATGTTCTTATTGAATTTATACCCCGCCCTTCACTACTTGAAGGTGTCTCAGAGCAGGTTACAAACTCCTTTCCCTTCCCCTCTCCACAACAAACACCCTATGAGGTAGGCGGGCTGAGAGAGCTCTTTCAAGGCCTGCTCTTGAGAGAACAGTTCTGAGAGAACTATGGCTTGCCCAAGGTCATCCAGCAGCTGCGAGTGGAGGAGTGGGGAATCAAACCCAGTTCTCCCAGATTAGAGTCCGCACACTGAACCACGACACCAAACTTAAACTCAGCTGTGTGCAGAGCAGAGGGACGGAAGCCAGCAGAGGTTAATCAAGAGCAGGGTGGGGGACAGGGCCCAAACAGAGACACGGCAGTGAACCTCCCCAACCCTGGAACTCTGAGGGCTCTGGAGTTGCCAGCGCTTTTTGCTAGGCAGGACTGTTGTGTCTTCACAAGCTGCGCTGGCAGGCCAGAAGACCACAGATCACAGTCCTCCATCGCTGCCTACCCATGAGAGGGAGACATCGGCACAGGAGCCAGGCTACGAGGAGAGAGTTGGCAACTCCATGGAAGAGCCGCAGCCTCACCAGCAGGGCATCTGTGGGTCGTTTTGAGGTCTGGCAGGGGGTTGGCGTCATACTGGGAGAGTGGGACCCATCTTCTTGGGCCTCTGTTCCCATTGAAGGGCGGCCTGAAAAGAGCCATGAGACGGGAGCTTTTGAGGACTAGGAGCCACTTTGTCACATGCCAGGAACAAAACCCTCCCTGGGCAGACAGGTTTTTATAGGAGGTTAAAAATAAATAAAGAGGAACCAGGGCCAGGAACCGCAGGAAGTTCAGGGTAAAAGGTGGGGTCACCAGCAGGCCTGGAGAAAACATGTCCCTCGGACGGAGGCTTGTGCGGAGATCAGCAGTTGGCGTTTCTCGTGACATGAAGTTAAATAGCGTCAACCAGGCGGATGAAGTTAAATAGCGTCAACCGGGCGGATTCCACAAGGCGGGTTACGTGGCTGATGGTGAATTCGAACATGCAACAGGGATTCCACACAGCCCAAGGGGGGCCTGGTTTTCACCACTATTTGCCATGTTTCCCTTTCGTGCCCGGATATGGACGGCATCTCTCCACCGCCGCCACTGCCATGCTCCTGTCCTGAATACATGCCCACCCTTTAAGAACATTGGTGCGTGCCTCGTGTTGCTCGAGAGTAATGCCCTTCACCATCTCCACCCCCAGCTGCGCCCCGTCACACGGGAGAGGGGGAAACGTCTCCAGGATTGGGACACACTGCCGATACGACAGCAGCCGTGTGACTGTGCTCTTCCAAGGAACTGCTTCTGGCGCTTTCTTTTTGTTTAAAAAAAATGGCCCTTTTCGCAATAGCCCAGTGCAGCTGACCGCTTCTCCTGCAGTTCCAAGTGGAGAATTCTTCGAACGTGAAGCAATAGGTTGGTGGCATGCCACTTTTTTGGGTAGCTGCCCTGTTCTGTAAACGATTTCCCCAGAATTGTAGCTGTACAAATACTGCAGAATAAGCATGATGGACTGGTGAGGGAGATGCCCACCAGTACCAGTGGCATGCTGTACAGGCCTGTGACATTTGTCATAGAATCATAGATAGGGTTGCCAAGTGTTTTTTCGTCCGCGGCGGGGGACTCCCGGACGTTGTCTTGAGCGCGCGCGCCGCATGCACATCAGCCAGAGGTGATGTGATGACGCCGGGCACGCTGGGGGCGTGCCCGCCCCCAGCGTGCCCGGCGTCATCACATCACCTCTGGCTGATGTGCATGCGGCGCGCGCGCTCAAGACAACGTCCGGGAGTCCCCCGCCGCGGACGAAAAAACACTTGGCAACCCTATCTATGATTCTATGACAAATGTCACAGGCCTGTACAGCATGCCACTGGTACTGGTGGGCATCTCCCTCACCAGTCCATCATGCTTATTCTGCAGTATTTGTACAGCTACAATTCTGGGGAAATCGTTTACAGAACAGGGCAGCTACCCAAAAAAGTGGCATGCCACCAACCTATTGCTTCACGTTCGAAGAATTCTCCACTTGGAACTGCAGGAGAAGCGGTCAGCTGCACTGGGCTATTGCGAAAAGGGCCATTTTTTTTAAACAAAAAGAAAGCGCCAGAAGCAGTTCCTTGGAAGAGCACAGTCACACGGCTGCTGTCGTATCGGCAGTGTGTCCCAATCCTGGAGACGTTTCCCCCTCTCCCGTGTGACGGGGCGCAGCTGGGGGTGGAGATGGTGAAGGGCATTACTCTCGAGCAACACGAGGCACGCACCAATGTTCTTAAAGGGTGGGCATGTATTCAGGACAGGAGCATGGCAGTGGCGGCGGTGGAGAGATGCCGTCCATATCCGGGCACGAAAGGGAAACATGGCAAATAGTGGTGAAAACCAGGCCCCCCTTGGGCTGTGTGGAATCCCTGTTGCATGTTCGAATTCACCATCAGCCACGTAACCCGCCTTGTG